TAAGCAACTAAACTTCATGTTCCCACTTACTTAGCAGAAAGCCTAAAAATAATATGTGCTTTTCACAATGATAATGATAGCAATAAGAATTAAAGAACACTATAGTGTAAAGACTAAGCCAATTAAAAGGAATGCTCTTGACTTGTTGCTGTTTTCCAAGAACTATATACATACAAAAAAGAATGTGTCACTGTTCATAAAACCATCATTAGCTTTCTGAAAATTTATTTCTGTAAAAATGTAGATAGGTGACTTCCACTTTTGTCATGTTGGAGTAATTAAAGCCAAACTTGCCCTTCCACCATAAACAAAACTGGACAAAATATATGAAATAATTATTCAACAAGCAGTGCAAGATTGTGAACCACGAGAGAGAGAGAAAGAAACTATAGGCTCTAGAAATGCCACTGCTTTACACACGGAAGTAATTTCTAGATCACAGCACAGGAAGAAGGATCCCAAGCAGGCTATGGAAGTCCACAGAGTTAAGAGACAAAGAGTGATGTTCAATGAGGTTGTGGTACTCTGCAAGGAAGAGTACTGAAAATGATGAAACTACCCAGAAAAAGAAGTCCAGAAGTCTGCACAGGGTCCCCATGTGTCTGTTGCTGAAAACTGTTGAGTACTAAGTCTTGCACAAGTAGGGTGAAACTTCAGGGGGCCAGACAAAGAACAACAAGGAAGCAGTAAGTTCAACAATTCTCAGGGCCTACATGGTGCTAAAAGTCACAACTAGCCAGAATGGAGTGTCAATGAACAGCCGCAGAACTCAGTAGGTATTAGACATAAACTAGCCTTAGAGCAAGTATTACTCTAGACTCATCCTAACAAAGCTGCAAAAGGATCAGAATGATATACAGGTACCTCAGTGTCTACCACAATAAAGTCCAACACTCTTTTAAGACAGTTAAATCCAGTAAAATAATGTAATATCCATAAGGTACAACATCCAACGGAAAATTCCTAAACAAGCTAAGCAGAAAAATATGACCCATCACCAGGAGAACTAGGAGAAAAGTGATGGAATTATTAGATAAGGAAGTCAAAACTATTACAAATGTGCATAAACATATGAAGAGAGAAACAAACATAAGAACCAAACAGAACTTATAGAGATGAAAATCCAATATTTAAAATGAAATTTCACCAGATAAGATTATCTGGTGAAAGCAGTTGATGACACATCAGAAGAAAAACAAATTGCAAACATAGAAACTACCCAAACTGAAGCATAGAGAGAAGAGATAAATTAGAAAAAATAAATTAGCAGGGTTGGCCAGTGAGCTCAGTTGATTAGAACGCAGTGCTGATAACACCACGGTCCAGGGTTTGATCCTTGTACCAGCCAGCTGCCAAAGGAAAAAAAAAAATTCTAAAGGCATAGCAGAATTAAGTGTGAAAGTTAAAATGAAGAAAACATAGAAAAATATCTTCATTACACTAGGGTAGGCAAGATCCCTTAAACAGGAAATTTTAAACGTTCAACATAAGGTGCAAAAAAAGGGAAGGCAGTACTATGGGTCAAATGTGTCCCTCAAAAGTTCGTGTACTGAAACTTAATTTCTATTGTTACAGTGTTAAGAGGATGGAAAATCCAATTATGATACCTGAAAGGTGGGGCATTTAAGAGGTTATTGGATCATAAGAACCGTGCTCTCATGAATGGATTAATCCATTTATGGCTTACTGGGTGGTCATGGGCATGGTTCTGATGCTTTATGAGAGCCAGTGAGCAGGTTACTTCTCTCCCTCAGCCCATTCTCGCCACGTGATACCCTTGTCGCTGGGACTCTGTAGAGTTCACACCAAGAAGGTCCTTGCCAGATGTGTTCCTAGGACTTTGGACTTCCTAGCCCCCAAACTATAAGAAATAAACCTTTTTCATTAGAAATTATCCAGTTTCAGGTATTCTGTTACAAGCAACAGAAACAGACTAGTACAGCCAGATAGAAGACATTTACAATAAATATGTTCAGGGCCGGCCCGGTGGCGCAATGGATAGTGCGCCGCTTGGGAGTGCGGAGGCGCTCCCGCCGAGGGTTCGGATTCCATGTGGAAACCGGTTCCCGCTCACTGGTTGAGCGCGGTGTGGGCGCAACACCAAGGGTTGCGATCCTGTTGCCGGTCCCCAGTACGGGTGCGACACCGAGGGTTGCGATCCCGTTACCGGTCAGTAAAAAAGACAAAAAAGGAAGAAAAAAAAAAATGTTCAACAAAGATCTTATATCCACAACCTAATAGCCAATAAATATACTAAAAGATGCATAATTACATCACACATACGACACCATTAATTAAATCAGACAATATCAACTGTTGTTGAAGTTGTGAAGCTACTGAACATAGGAGCAAAAAATTGGTTCAATCACTCTGGAAAATTTTGCCATAAGGAATTTTATAATATAAAAAGTATTCCTTAATAAACTTGATTTTTAAAAAATACTGTTCAACAGTATCTAATGGGAACAGGATTTATTAATAAGATCACAAAAAGCTGAAAATGACAAAAAGGACCACTAAAATTAATGACATACCTGAATTAATGCAAGTACAAGGATACTTTTAAAATTTCATGGAAAATAGAATTAAAAGACAATGTGAATTTTTTTCATGAACTTTTTGAAGTACCCCCCGTTAACTTATCAAAAGTCTTTTAACTGACTTTGTATCAATGGCTTTTATGCCAAAGGCTTAAATCTACCAAAGCCAATATGGTAAACATGATACAAAAGGAGTCTAGGTCTTCTCTGTTAAACTACACAAATCATAACATCATCACTGTTTCATAATTCTAGCATTACATTTCAAGGTAATTTTTATGCAATAGAAACATTATGAACTGAAAATTTTACTTAAAGAGTGAAAAACACTGCCTTTGTAACCAAATAGCTCTGGTTTTAAACACTGACTCCAGATAATAAAACTAGTTATGTAATCTTATGTAGTACTTTGCTGAGTATCAAAAAGAACCCTTAAATCATGGAGACAAAGAATCAGAAAAAGGCATGTAAAACGCTTAGTAATAATAATAGCTAATGCTTACGGAGCATTTACCGAGTGCCAGGAACTATGCTAAGTGCTTAACAGGAAAAACCATTCAATCTTAGCATTGGTATGATGCAGGTAGTCTTATTATCCTCATTTTATGTGAGATAACTGAATTCCAGGGAGGTTATATAATTTGGCCAACATAACACAGCTATTAAGCGATGGGGAAAAAATCGGAACCCAGACAATCTGGATCCAGAGCCATTTCCCTTAACCATTAATAATTACCTCTCTACTACAGTGCCCAGAACATTTTTTTTCTTAATGTGTTTTTTTAATAACATAAAACTACTTAAAAAAGGTAATATTTAGCCATTGTAGACAGCTTTAAAAAAAGAAAAAAAAAAAAAAGATTAACACAAAATCCCATTGCAGAGACAATTGCTATTAAACATAGATTTTTTTTTAACAAAAAAGTTTTAATCCAAAACTCACAGAACAGTCTATTATTCTACAGTATAAAGATGAACTTGTGCAAATACAATTCATACTTGCATATAAAAACATAGACATTGATATTCTTACTTGACATGAACAATGTGACTTTATTTTGTATAGTTGAACTTAAAATATTCAGGATTCCAGTTGTTTTTTCATGGTCTGAACGGAAATACATTACATTTGTTTACAGCACCACATTTTTCAAAGGGATTTCACACTAACATCTCATTTAATCTTCATGATAATCCTGTAAACTAAGCACAAAAGGTTCAATCCTTATTGTACAGGTAAAATTTAGAAAACAAGCAATTTGCCTGAAATTACATAACTGTTAGTGACAAAACTTAGACTTCTATCTAGGCCCTCTGACTCCTGGTTGAGAGCTCTTTCCATCACATACAGAAATGTTATTAAATGTCATTAGTGTAAAGGTTATTAAAGCCAAGAGTTTTAATCTTTTAATAGATCTTCTAATCAATAAATTCAACTATTTCACCTTGTTTCCTTGCTTATTCAGTTTTACAATCAAATGTACAATAAAAATGCTAAAGATAAAATTAGAAAAATGAATACACATGCAAGATTAACCCACTGGATAATCTCTCCAAATAACTGAGTTTGCCAGACCTCTTCTTTGAATGAGACAAGATTATACTATAGCACTTTATTTTATAGCCGTTAAGAACAGTAATTAGGTTGCAGATCCTAATGATTACTATTTTCCCAATTAATGAAATTGGGCCGTCTTCCATATTGAAATTATACTCAATGCCATTACCCTAATTATTTCCTGTCAATGTAACCTGTAAAAATAATTCAAACTGACATATCTCTCCAAGTAACTACTAATAATTCACTTCTCATCAAGAATCAGTACACATTTAAGTAAATGGATCTCAATATCTTTTTTTTCCTAAAAGCACTACTTCTATAGCAAGTCACTTACTACAAAGGAGAGAAGTCCTCTCACAAAGAAAAAAGAAACAATACTCAACTTATGGGAAATCCTAGAATTTTCCCTTAAAGCTTCTGTCCTTGCCTGATGATAAACTCTCACAGCAAATAAAGGTTGATAAGAAAAATAGAAAATAATACATCATATTTCATTTGATAGCTTCCCTTTCCCCCATAAAGATATATTATATAGAAGGCCAGATGTATGTATAATTCAGCTTTAACACTGGTTTTATCTGATTAAAATAAAATCTTATAAAAGCACTCTTAAAATATAACAGAAAATGAAAAATCCTCAACAAAATACTAGCAAACCAAATTAAACATCATATTAAAAGGATTATACATCATGACCAAGTGGAATCTATTTCCGCAATGCCACTTCCACTTAACGTAGTACTAAAGTCCTAGCCAGAGACATTAAGCAAAAACAAAAAAGGAAAAAGAAAGAAAAGAAACAAATAATTAAAAAGCATCCAAACTGGAAAGGAAGAGGTAACATTATCTCTGTTCACAGATGACATGATCTTCTATCTAGAAATATCTAAAAAGGGGTTGCCTGGTTAGCTCAGTTGGTTAGAGCACGGTGCTGACAACACCAAGGTCCAGGGTTCGATCCCCTAAACCGGCCAGCCTAAAAATAAATTAAAATAATAAAAAATAAAAGAAAAAGAAGAAAAGGAAAAAAAAAGCATGCTTAGAAATACCTAAAAGAGGAGCTGGCTGGTTAGCTCAGCTGGTTAGAAGAAAATGTAGGGCAAACGCTTCACGACACTGAATTTGACAATGATTTCTTAGATATGACACCAATGGCACAAGCAGCAAAACATGAAATAGATAAAGCAGACTTCACGAAAATTTTTAAATTTTGTGCATCAAAACACCATCAACAGAGTAAAAAGGCAACACACAGAATGGGAGAAAATTCTTACAAATCATATAACTTATAACAGATTAATATCTAGAATATAAAAAGAACTCCTAAAACTCAACAACAACAAAAACAATTCAAAAATGGGCAAAGAACTTGAATAGACATCTTTATAAAAGATATACAAGTAGCCAATAAGCACATGAAAAGGTATTAAATACCACTCGCCATTAGACAAATGCAAATCAAAACTATCGCCTTGCACCCATTAGGATGGCTACTTTTAAACAAACAAAACCCAGGAAATAGTGTTAGCAAGGATGCAGAGAAATTGGAACCCGGTGCACTGTGGTGATGATGTAAAATGGTACCAACTGCTGTGGAAAACAGTATGGCACAGTTCTTTGAAAAATTTAAAAAGAATTACCATACTATCCAGCAATTCCACTTCTGTGTATAACCCAAAAGAATTGAAAGCAGGGTCTCAAAGAATTATTTGCACACCTATGTTCATGGTTAGCCTCATTCACAATAGCTAAAAAATGGAAGCAACCCAAGTATCTATTGATGGATAAATGGATAAAAGTGGTATATACATGCAAGGGAATATTATTCAGCCTTTAAAAAGGAAGACAATTCTGCAATATGCTACAACACAGATGAACCTTGAGGGTGTTAAGTGAAATAAGGCAGTCACAAAAAGAAAAATACTGAATGATTTCACTTATATGATATTCTTAAAGTAATCAAAATCATAAAGACAAGTATAATGGCGGTTGTCAGGGGCTGGGGATAGAGGGGAATAGGAGTTATTGTTTAATTGAGTGTAGAGTTTTAGTTTTGCACAATGAAAAGAATTCTGGAAATGGATGGTGCTTATGGGCATACAACAATATCAATGTACTTAACATCACTGAACTCCACACTTAAAAATGGTTAAGTCAATTTTAAAAAATAGGTTTATTTGCTTGTTTAAAAAAACATCAATGTACTTAACATCACTGAAAAATGGTTAAGTCCAAAAATCCACACTTAAAAATGGTTAAGTCAATTTTAAAAAATAGGTTTATTTGCTTGTTTAAAAAAAATATACCATGTAATACCACCACTTAAGTTCATTCTACAGAACAATATGGGAGGAAAGATATCATGACAAGATTCTCAATGCTGTCTTCTTAATCAAGCCAGTAGACTTAAATTAAGTTTTTAGGAACTTACAAGAGAGATGCAAAACACAAGGGCACTTCAAAAAATTCATAGAAAAGTTAAAAGATAATATGAATCCTTCCAAAAACTTTTTGAAGACCCGTAGTACTACCTATATACTTTGAGCAAATGTTTCATATTCAATTCTTTTAAAACAGGTTTTGTGAAATAACACAATCAACATATTTAGTCCTCTCCAGCACAATCACTGCATTAAATAAAAATACAAGTCTGCATTCTCTTATCTGACTCTTGTGTTTGGAGAGTTTGTGAAATTTTAAAATTGTGAATAAAGATTTCCCTTAGTAAGGAATGAAAGCCATAGTACTTTGTTCATCCTTCTGCTTATAACATGAACATATGTTAGTTCAAAACTAAACATAATAGTTTCAGAAATACAACAACACTATAGGCTATTGTCTTTCACCAGCAATTAAAGTTTAAAATATTAACACTGTGCTATCGAAACAATGAAGCAAAATAGGACATAATTAAAACAGGCTGAATTGTTCTATCAGATAATAAAATCCAATGTGCTAAATTCTGGCACCACACACTCCATGACTTTCGCTTCCAAATATACAAATAATTGACACCACTTCAGGCCAAGTATAAAACTGAAAAGCATATATCAAATAACCATTTTCAGCTTGGACAAAAGCCAACACAATGCAGAACTGTGGTCTCAGAAGACAAGCAAGGTAAATCCCAAAAAAATCCCTGTTTCTGCCTCGAGGCATTTTCCAGACTGCAGACTGCGGAGGGAGAACCCAAACACAGCCTGGCAGTATCAATGATCTAAGCAGATATCAGAGTTAATAACTGCAGGAATCACTGAAATTTATGAGGAAGGGTACCAGAGAGAATTTTACAGGGATGCTTCAAGAATCTGCATAATAATCTTTGGTGAAATACTAAGCTGAGCAGAACATGGCAAGAGTCTACTGAAGCTGGGCAAAGAAAAACTACCAAGTAGCATGAGGCTAACAACTACTGGTGTTAGCACATGGCTGGCAGACATTTGAGTTCCAAACATCCAGTTAAGTGACTTTAGTAAACACCCCAGGATTCAGCAGAAACCCAGTAAGACTAATCTAAACCCACTTTTATTAAAACAAGCCTTGAAAAGATCAAGCTGATGAGCAAGCAAATTAACTGTCTGCCAAAACAAAACTATTAAGAAAGGCAACAGGTTCCAGGCATTCAATATCGTATTGTCCATAATACCCAAAATTATGGGGGTGGGGGAGTTGGATTACTAGAAATGTGAAACAGGAGAAAACTGTGACCCATGACCTACAGGGGAAAGAAATCGATCGACAGAAACAGACTCAGAAATAAAAATGATGGAAGTAGCAAAGACTTTAAAACAAGTTACTATTATGTAACATTAAACGATTTAAAGAAAAACATGAACACAATCAGAAAACAAATAGTAAATATCAATAAAAAAATGGAAATTCTAGGGGCCAGCCCGGTGGCGCACTGTGAGCGCGGCAGCGCTCCCGCCGAGGGTTCAGATCCTACATACAGACCGGTTCCCGCTCACTGGCTGAGCGAGGGGCGGGTGC